AGAGCTTTTTAAAAGTTTAAAAGCATATTCTTATAGAACTCGACGAGCTGAGTTCAATGCTTTTTTCAGATTTTGAAAATCTTCAATTTTGAAGCGAGTTATAACGAAAAAACGAAAAAAAACGCGAATTTGCGTTTTTCGCGTGTTTTTTTCGATTTTTTACGGCGAGTACCGTAGTTTTCCACATGGTTAGACTCGCCACAGAGAGACGAGTCCAATGGTGTAGAGCACCAATCATTTGACCCGCTTTGGGGGGAGTTATGAAGGGGCGACGCTTTGCGACGCTGCAAATCCGTCGCTCAGCGGAGAAATTTCAAAAGTTAGTGGCGGTATTGTACAGCTGTGGCCTCCTTTCCATAGTTGAACTCTGCCCACATTACCCAGGATTTCTGGGAACCGAGTGACAAGTATAATAGCAATCTCCGCCCACTTTTCTGTTGTCGGTACAGCTCATTTCTCATGCATGCCACGCCCACTGTAGGCGGGGCTCCGCTTAGCTGATGTATGTTTTGTACTTCTCGAGGCATGCCCACCCATCCCACACTTGACCCGATCTCCCGATCTCTCCAGGTGAATCTCCAGGAAACAGGGAATTCCCGTGACGGACACCGTGACAGGACGACAGGCAACAGATGAAGCGCTTCATAGTAAATAGGACAGAAAATAATCAAATAATTAAAGGCACGGGTCACTATTAGGTTCCGAGGGTAATTCTCTCCCTAAGCAAGGTAGCAGGCCCTCTACTCGCAGGGGTGGTGCTACCTTCGCGCCAGGAAGGAGCGCGCCAAGGGGAGCTAATGCCTGCGCTTGACCGCTTCGACCGCTGCCAACCTTATCGATCGCAGAGTACACATCGTCTGCGTTTCTCGCGTCTACCTGCTCTCTCGCGTTTCGCGTCTTCGCAACACTGTGTCTCTCGGTCATACCACGAGCCGAGGTGACCGAGAAATTTCGATATTTTCTGAGGGTTCTTTTGCTTTTCTCTTTGTCGTTCCACTTCGCAGCTTTTGTCCAACTTTAAAAAAGAATAATACAACAAATTGATCCCAAGCCGCGCCCTTCTGCAACAGAGTTCAGATGCCGTTTTGGAAAAGAGTTCTGTTCAGAATCGATCGTTTCGTCTCCGCCATATGTTTGGAACCATTCTGCAGATGTAAGGTTTTTTCAGCCATACCGAGTAAAATATCCAACAGTACCGTAATTTCAGTGGAATCGCTACAATTCGACATGGATCAGTTCTGCTTACGATGCTACGAACTCGTGAGTACAAGACCATAATTCAATTTCTCTTTTGGATTTCTTGGTAAACTTTTTACCGAAATAGATAAAACAAATAAGTGAAACCTTTTTGAAGGGTAATATAGGCTACTTGGAGAAAACTGCACTAGTTCAAAACACAATAATGAGTGGGAAAAATCTGAAGCAATCGCAACAGCTATGGTTTCCAGGAATTAACCAAAACAGAGTAGCCGCGTCGCAACCGCTCGCATAAGTGCTATCATCTTATTGCACAGAGGACTAACGGCGCATGAAAATATTGTTGAAGGGACCCTGGAAGAAATAAACATGGCTATGTAGTTGGTAGTAAAATTTAGAATTTGGTATGCGAAAAGATACTGTACTGATAAGTAACTCTGGAGAAACGCCCATAAAATCCGCGACACCGCTTACGCTGACACCTAGTGCAGGGGGCGGGGTTCCCACTGTAGCCAGAATCATCAATCTGATGGTCGTACCTGCCGCAAAGGCCACGGCGCAGACAAATGAAGTGCAGTGGATATGACAATCATTTGGAGGCGGAGCAAGCTCAAAGGGGGCGGAGCTCGAAATCATAGGGTATTTTTACCTTGCCTTAGGTGGGTTTAAAGCGCTCAAGTTCTCACGAATTGTCTGTTCGGAAAATTGATTCTCCGTCTAACTAGGCAAATCAATTCCAGACGGTGAGCTAGAATGATCGTACCCACCACCCTTAAGTATTGTACTCGTTTAGGTTTCTGCTATCACCAGCAATTCGTCTAAAAACCGACTCTTTACGGTTGATGGTGCACATACAGAACCTTCATGGGACCGTAGTAATCAGTTTAGTTTTGTTTCTGCTCAACAGTAAAGTCCGTGAATGCAGACAACACTTATTTCTCTTCTAGATGTCTACAGTAGCCCGAGTCCTTTCTTGCCACTGAACGCAAACTTCATCACTGTTGCCAGCACGTCAAAACCCGGCTTTCTGGATGTCACATTGGACGACTTGCAGGGTTACTTGTGGATTTCCATTTACAAAACCGGCTCCGTGGTGATCGAAGCAGTAAAGCTGCTTTACCCACAGTGTGACACGGTAAGCGTACCCATACCTCTTCAATCATAAGGCTTCTTGCACCCCCGTAACATGATTGCGACAGTTCTAATTTCTTGTGTTTCCTCTCTTTCATAACTGCTTTGTTCACCTGAAGAAGACCCAACACCTCCTTTTTCAGACTTCCATCGATGGAGCCTTGCTGAGAAGGTCGTTCAGTTTTTCGAAACCTCGCCGAGTCCCGGTCACATGTGGCACATCTGCGACGCCAGCGGTAGTGACCGCAGTCTGTCACCCAGTCACCGGCTGGGCACTGCAGATGGCCAATCCGTGCTGCACTCAGTGTACGGCCATTTTCCTTGGTTTTATTAGTGATCTACGACTAGCCCTTCACTGGGCAATCATGGAGATCGTTTGTTGTTGAGACATTTGCAAATTCAATTGGAATGGGATGCATGGCGCAATCCTGAATTTCTTAAAGGTCTCACGGGTCCAATATTTCCACTATGGACGAAGAAAAATAGTTCAAAAAGCGCACTGGGTTAGATAATTCGAAAATTGCTCGATTCAGTCCTTCTGAGTACTGCATCAAGGCCACAAATGTAGTGGAGGGCAGAGGGAGAAGTGGTTTTGGCGGCTTTTTAGACCATTTTTCAGGAAAAAAAATGTATGGAAAGGGCGCAATGAGAGCATTTACCACTTCGCAGCCGTGCATAATCCCGCAACCCCTCTCCCCTCCCCCTCCCCTCCTACTCCTCCCTATTGCCTCTTAACGGTGCTAGCGCATAGTATAGAAGTTTATAGCCATTATGGCAGAATGGGATCTAGGCACATCCCACAACTGCGAGCTTGGTAATTTCTTATGGAAAGATGCAATTTTATGAGCCTCAACGGCCAATGACTGATCAAACGACGCAAAAGACACCATCCTAAGGTTTTACATTTCAACGTTGTGCAGTCATGGTTAATGATCGAGTTATTCACTACCAAAACTAGCAACGAGTAACGCGCGGAGCACAGGACCGGAGCGACACAGGCACATTTTAGATGTCAGTTTCAAGGCGAGGTAACGGGAGGACTGTGGAGCGCGAGAGCAACGCGCAAGCCCCTGCTGCCCTTATCAGTCATCTTAGAGCCGTGATTCAGGGCACATAAACCACATTGCCCTTGCCACATTGCCAGCTTACCCACAAAGGTTAGCCAGATATATAACATCGTGATCAAATTAAGCTTAAGATGTGATATATTCTATACCTTCGATCTTCAATGAAGAAAATGTCCAAGATATTCTGTCATTCTCATCTCTATTTAGGTCAGTACATATCAGAAGAGCCCACCGCTGTCAACTGCAGCTATACGGACTGCGCTAATGGTCGCTGTTTCGTTGAAAGTGGAGTGAAGCAATGCAAATGCCTGGACGGTTTGTTATGAAAGAAAATTTAGCGCTATGGCAAGACACGGGGGCATCCCCTAGAACTAACGATAAGCCTAGAAGGGAGCAGGAACTTAGGAGGAAATAAAAAGTGTCCACGCACCTCGGATCCTCCCTTCGGCGTCTAGGCTTGGTTCCATTTTCAACAAAGAAGAGATATTCACGTGGTTTTGAATGTGTTGCCACAGCAATGCCCGTATTTTGCGATTGCGCCGGCCGGAATTTTTTTCTCTCATTCCGTTCTTCCTTACGGAAAGCCTTTTTTCGGACTGAGTCAGTAAAATCCTCGACTATGACCGCAGCTCACCCCACTGGTGGTTAAACACCACTCTTCAGACAGTCTTTATGTGTCAAGCGGAAAACGAAGGCATGGCGTATTCCAAGAAGTGATGAGCACCTTTCAGGCTTTCTTCACGTGAACGGTACATGTGTGCCGGATTCGTGTCAGCATACATTCTGTTCAAAAATTGGCCACGGAACCTGTGAAGAGAGTGAAGGTTTCGGGACGTGCCATTGTGGATCCGGTGAGTTGACGCGGCATTCAGCTATTTGTCCATTTACGTCCAAGTACTGCTACCTTGCCCTTGGCACCGTAGTTCCTGACCATCGTGCTATCCCTTTAGTTTTGAGCTTGGAAAGGGCTATCACGGTCCGGGCCGAGTTTACGTACTCCTGTGCACCAACAATAAACACAGCAGAGAAAATCGTCCAATATTCCAGGTTTTGAGGAAAGTCGCTTCTGTGAGGTGGAAAACGCCGGCTGCCCAACTTGCGCTCCAGACCACACCTGTCTGCTCGTCATCGGCCAGAATGCAAACGCGGCACAGCACCAGTGCGCCTGTGCGATGGGAGGAGTCGTCGGGAAATGCCCATGGGATCCGTGTTGGGGCCGCAATTGCGGTCCACATGGGAAATGTGTCCCAAAGAACGACACCAGGGTAGAGTACTCGTGTGAATGTGAACCAGGTACGATTTTCATGTTTCCAAGTCTCATAGATTTCATGATATTACTCGTGAAATGGTTCGGTCAAAGTGAAGCCTAGCCTGCGGGCCAAGGGGTGGGGGGGGGGGAATGAGGGGTGAGAAAATACGAGTCAGGTTGGAGTTTGACGGCGCAGACGTTGACATGATATTAATTCCAAACGGAGACAATCATCACAGCGTAAAATGTAACTGTAGTGAAGAAGTGCAATTTGAAGGGCTTGAACGGGTTAAAAGTTTTCTAATAGCTTCAAAAAACAAAAATATAATACATTAGTCCAACGAGCAAAGTAATCGAAAAGCAAAGGATTGGTAGCACGGTGATTCGTGCATTTAGAAACCAAGGCCATATGAGATTTAAAGGCACAGCCCACGAACAAACTCGTCCGGTTAATCGAGTCGATTCTGGAACTATGAATACTGCCAGCTGAAAAAGGATCGCCAAAAACCCCAAAAAAGGCAAGCTGACTACAAAAGCGGCAAGGTGAAAATCGGTCGAGGACACGGGAATGGCTGGTCGAGGAATTTCGCCTGTCCAGTCGCGCTCTCCCGCGTGTACATTCACTCTCGACATTACTCTTGCACATTAAACAGTCATGGTCGAGGAATTCCTCGACCGCTATCCACCCTGAGAGAGGGTATACCTGAAAGGAAGCTTACCGCACGGCAAAGAGTGGGGAAAAAAGCAGAGGAATCATTGGGAAAGGGGGAGGTGGATCGTGTGCTCTCACATTGTCTTCATTCTAACCTG